ATCATATATAAAAAAACAACAACTTTAATTTTAACCTTAGTTTGCATTGAATAGATGTAGATTTTAGAGCTATTATACAAGGCGTTTCCTTAAACGTGTTGTCCTTTGATCCAGGTCAAAACATGCATATTGTTTTGATCTTGGTATAATTTTCAGGTATGCACTTTTCATTTTTATATTGGGCTAATCTTGTAATCAATCAATTTTCTGTTGGACCTTTACATATTTCAAGGAATAGGGAGCCCACTTTAATAGGCAAAATTATTTGCATTAAAATATGAATTTAATAAAGAAGTTCAAAGTAGAACCCCAGAATACAGAATGGTATTGGTAGTAACCTTATCAGCAGGTACTCTCCTTACCTGAACACTGTCCAGAAGAGTTTGCACATGGGCCATTCTGAGCTCATCCTTCAGCTTTTTGTTGACTGTAGCTTTCTGTACTTCATCTCTTTGTCGCCTCACCTCTTCTCTCTGTTTTCCTGAGAGCTGTTATCAGCAAGAAACACACACTGGTTAACTTGAACAAAACAGGAATGGAAACCAATAGTCCAGACAACTTCATTATTGATAAGAAAACCTTTTAACCAAGCAGCAGGCTTCACATCTGAATAAGTTATCAAATGATAACTATTTTTAATGTTCGTATAATTAAACAGTACTTAAAAAACCCACATTATAAATCCCAAATTGTCTAAAAACTAGCATTATACCAGTGGAGGAAGGATGGGTCGCCCATAGAAGCGAATCAGAGATGATGCTGATGAATGTCTGCGGTGTTCCTCCACTTCTTCCTCATTTTTCTTCAGTTTAGAGAGACAAAGCTGCACGAACTCTGTATAGTTCTCCATCAAGTTGCATAAAGAGACAGTAGCAGGGTATTTACAGAGCTAAAATACTTTACTTTATAAAGTTTGCTAACGCTAGCTTACATTGGTTAGCATCAGCTAGCTAACTCTCGTCCGGTTGATTCGTTTAAGAACCGACTATTCAGCTAAAAAAGACTAACATTCAGCAAATACACATGGATTGGTAAAGGTTTTTTTGACAAATGGATGAAGTCCAGTGAGCAACGACTCGAAAAGTCTCCATGGTGAAGCACCAATGTTTACATTTTAACCGCCTCTCCTCCAGCAGCAGCAGGCGGCGACAGTTGGGCTGCCCTACTGGGCCGGTCAGAAAACCCGGAGCGGACTATGTATCAGGGGAACACCCAGGGTACCAGGCAACAAAACTAAACTGACAACCACATAGAAAAACTAGGAAATCAACAATATTCCAAAAACAAGAAAACCATT